AAGGGTCCCAGACCTTGTCACTTGATAACTCACTTCATCATTTGTAGCACTCAGGTTGTCGTGGAATTCTCACAGAGCTCTTAAGTAGTTATCTAAATCATTTTCTGTCCATATAAGTGCTTTGGCTCTAGCTAGATGCCGGGTCCTCACTAAACATGTAATCTAGTCAATCTCCATAGATGAACGAACGTCTGACTACAGTTCCCGTTATATGCTTACTAAGGCAGTATATCTGTCTTTGGCATCTACTCCGTATCTGCGTTCTATCCGCTTTCTATGTATCAAGACAGATGGAAGAAAAGAAAGCAAGAAAGAGAGAGACACAGAGAAAACCCATATTTGACGAGCAAGGGAGGGGGCACTGATGAATCTGTTCTTATACTTGGTTCATTTTGAGAGATAAAACTAAATCTTATCTACTAGTACCACTATGATGTAGGTACCTAACTCGAGATATTCTGAAAGATTATACAGCCTTAGGAATCAATAAGAATCGCTCCTAATTTCAACAATGAAATACAAGAAATAAAAAGGGAGACGACAAAGGCACCATAGTAACACCGATCCACCTCATCATTTACATGTCATCATTCGTAACCGTTCCTGAGGGGGGAACATACAGGACATTAAAAATCGTCTGGATAATGAAAGGATGTCTCAAATCAAGAAGATCCGCAATCCGCCCGAGGTAGTAAGACCGCAATATGCCAAAATATGTGCAAGGAAATACAGCCAGATGCACATGTAGACTTTATGGCCGGCTGTTATTGTTCCATGTGTCAATACCGAGACCCACTCGTTCCTCCGCTTTCAATTTCTTCGAGGCCGCACTGTCAAAACTCGCCTTGCGTTTGAGACTGCCGGAGGGCTGCACGACCCCTGCTTTTCTAACTTGACCGAACAGCGTTGTTTGAAGCAAAGTACTCGATTTAGGGGCGTTTGCCACTCTTGTAGCATTCTGATGGTCTGAGTGACCATGGCGAAACATGTTTGTTGCCACTGAACCAGTGCGAGAAGGAGCGTCGTCCTCTGTTTCGGCTCCCTCGGTGTCGGATGCTGATATGGTGCTGTCCCTATCCCGATGCTGGTGCTGAGAATCTTTGTTCGGAGTGAAGTACTGACTCTCCTGCTGAGCTACCCGAGAGCGAGACGGCGTCATAGGAAGAGAAGATAGTGAATGTGCACCACGCACATGGTGGCTGCCAAACTGTTGCTGTGCGCCATTCTGATTTGATGTGGAGATTGCACTTGGAGATTCTCTGTTGAGAACACGATCCGCCGCCAGAAGAGCAGCAAAAGGATTATGGTTTTCATCCCTGGTCATATGGTGGCTATTATCGGCAAAGTGAGGAACAGACTTTCTATGAGGAGTCTGGATCTCGTTTTGTGGACTTGGAGACAATGAACCATGCTCGATCATCAAGGAAAGGTGCTTTCGGTTATCTCTGATACGGTCTTTCAACAAAGAATTTTCTTCCCCAAGTCGATCAGACTTCACTTTCTCTTGGTCGATAAGCTTCTTCGCTCGGCGAAGCCGCCGGTCAAGAGTAGCATTGACCCTCTCCAGATCTTGATTACGTTTGAGAGCAAGTTCTAATTCAACATTGGCAATTTGTTGTGGCGGTTTAGTTTCCGAATGACGACGGCGATATTCAGAGCTCTGGAGAATCTCGACTTCCCTTCTAGCCAATTTATGTTCAACCTCGGCGCGCTTGATGGCCTCGTTGCTTGTGAATGATAGTAGACTATTCTGTAACTTGAAGTGCAGCGCTGACATACGAGCCTCTTGAGCTACGCCCAGCAGCTCCTTGGCGATCGCACGGAGTTTGGATTCGTCAGCGGTATCGATTTCTTCGGCGGTGGGGAGGTTCTCAGAAGCTCCATAAGCGACACACAGCGTCTTCTCAATATCAGGTGGAGATGCAAGGTATGAACTAGATCGAGACCTTGATTGCCGAAGAGGGGCTCCAGGGATCTGCGACGATGGGGGAGGAGTCATATCTGACGATGGTAGTGACGGAGGGGAAAAGAACTTTCCTCTGTCAGAGCGCGATGTGTGGCTTTCGGCTCTTATACTTCTATCTGGAGAAGCAGAGTGACTTGCACGTCGAGTGGGGCTAACTGGACCAGAGATCTCTGCCGGAGGCGCAAGAGAGCACTGTGAGGGCTGAAGCTTGGAGTCTCGTGGCATGATAGGAACAACGGCAAGAGAGCCTAAGTAAAACCGTTGGAATATATCCTCGCACTGCTTCTTAGTTAGCAAAGGCCGGGTTGACCCTGTAGGGCGGTCAAGCGCATACCGGGAACGAGGTAGAGTATTCCGTGCGTATGTCAATAAACCTGATTGAAGGAATACTTGTTTCCAGCTCGGCTGATACAGGCCTTGTAAATAATAATAGACGCTAAACTTTCCGGGAAATCGGGTGCACTTGGGTATGGATGTGTTTGTCGCACAGACACTATGCGACTCGCACCTGGCTCGGTCCGCTTATCAGTGATAGGGCTGCGCAGACACGTTCAAATCAAGTAGGATACAAATGGATTCTTTGAAACAGACACCCAGTTTGGAGGAACAGCAATGCAAGATATGGAAACCCCTGTGCCAATATGACAGGAGTAAGGTATAAGATAGAATGTGAATAAAGCAATGGTAAAGCAACGGGTAGATGTGATGCAAGGAGCAAGGAGCACTGTGGAGGGTTTGATGCCTTAAGGATGTTGCAAGCGGCGGGTGTTTCGCACATCGGGAGGCTGGGAAGTCGCTTGCGATGGCTCTCCTCCAACCAATTATATCCGAAGTTTTGCATGCACGTGAGCCCAGCCGCGCGCTAAATTTTATCATTCCAGATGCAGTTAGAGTGGAGATCATGCACCTCCAGGCAAGTAAACAGAAGTTGTACCCCATGGGTCCAGAAGGTTGTAACTGAGGCAACGGGCTGCCGATGAACCATCAATACTAAGTGACTTGTGTCTGGACTTGATTCCGGTTGTATAAGCTACTGTATGCAAACAGATGGTCCGTGTTTAATATTCAAGATATCGCGAACCCCAATCAACACATAGTTAGTATTATTTTACTGTGTATCTGGTGACCTATGATCTCCCCACTTGTTAGGGATTTTATTAGCCTATACAAACTTGATAATTACTGAAAATACTCCAGGCTATTTCCCCCCGCAAAACGTAACAAGAATGAACTTAGGTAGCGTTTCAGATGAGCCTTTGTCTGAACGAGAGACTATAGGAAGCAAGAAACTTTTGCCTTCTCTTCTTCCTTCCTCCGCCACTTTTTGATTTTCACTTTTCTCCTTGAAAGGGCTTTAACTATGAGAACTACAATCTTGACAATGGCTCATTTGTGTGAAGACCGATCAATTCGAACGCGGACCCGATGCTTGTCTGTGGAAGGATATTAAATTGTGGATCAATATGTATGAGAAGGCAATGCTCATAGAAGGAGAAATTAATTACACTTGATCAGTCAATTGCATCTGTGAGATTTGAGGCCACTGTAATAGTTGCAGGATGGGTCTTTCTGTGGAGCATGACATTTGTCCGCCTATGTAGTAATCGTACGGAGCACTTTGTACGCAGTATATATGGTCATCATGAAAAATTGAGGGCTGTTTATGATTCGGTTGTAATATTCGATTTGTTTGACAGAAGGCTAATATAGACGTGCCCAGTCAGAGAACACCTGATCGTGTGTAAAGCCCACTTTCCACGTAACCATAAGTAGGCCAGTATACCCGACCCGACTGTGGTTCAATAGGAGTATCGGTAACCTAGTTGGTGATATGTTGAGTCCGTGTGTATACTGCAAGAGGTCTTCAAACACCAGCAGTGGTTTGTTTTCACTTCGGAAAGGCATGTAAGTATCCTGCCTCAAGAGCATCTCTGGGACTCATCTAAATTTGGTCTATCCAATAGCTCTGGTTGTTTCTGGAACAGGAGGACCCTTACAGCTTCCAAGATTCGCTCCATTTGTCGGCGGGATGCCGAAGGAAATCTCACCAATCACAGGTCTTGACTAGTCTATATCGATTGCGGCCCCAGGCACCAACTACGGAGTACGTCGTAAACAATGGTTATAATTGTAATCATATAATCTATCACATAATTAATAGGAGTTACCCTAAAAATGACACGTTGCGCTGAGTATTACTTTGTGCTCTGACCACTTAACGTTTTCACCTCTACCCATTACATCTGTTACCAGCTGTGTGTCAGCTGAGAATTTCTGCTGTCCTGTCTTTTCCTCTAAGTACCTGACCCACACAAAAACCATCATGAGACTCCTTTCCCGCTCTTGAAACCATTACTATCCAATTGCAGAAACGTGCTTTATGCTTTTAAACAACCTAAACCGACTACTTCTGTGATGTGAACATGGATAAACAACAGAAATTACCGGCCCGACCGAGTGGGATTCCTCGATTAGCCTCCAGACTACCGCTCCCGACATCAACCGTTTCGAAATCGATCAAGCCCTCCCCATCTCGCGAAAGGCTACGAACAGATACTGGAGTCGATGCAGCTAGGCTTCGAAGACCTTCAGAGGAAACATTGTTTAAAAAGCCGCTGCCTAAATACTCGGTGCCAAAAAAGCCTCACAATGGCCTGTCACAAAGGAGGGATGTCTCTCATAGTAGAGTGAGCGATGGTGGAAAGTCGGAAACGGATAGTGTAATGGATGGATCTTTGAAGCGTGGGACGGGTGCATCAGTTGACGATGCAGATACTAGAGGTCGTACGCGCCCTTCACTGTCAGAACGAACAATTGAGACATTATCGCAAATTCCTCCTTCACCGGGTTCTTCAAGACATTCTAGTTTCTTTAATGGGACCAGCCCCATGCGCTCTCCATCCCGCCCGGCTTCTGTGCTGTCAAGCTGTTCGAGGTCACCTTCCAGGTCATCGTCGTCGCGTCAACAAACCGGCGGCGATTTCTTGTCTCGCCCATCGTCTGCAATGCGGCTACCATCAAGGTCACGCCAGTCACTGTATGTGGGCGGCACATCGGCCGAGCTAAACAATGTGACGACTTCGGATAATGTTTCCAAGTTGAAGCTACCTTCTTCGAGGACAAGCACTTATAGAGATACGACGCATACACTATCAAATCCTGGTGGAAGCTCAGGCACTACCTCTATACAGATTCATGATACGAATCTTACACAGGAATTGCTCCACGTGAAGAAAACGAGGAAGACACCGACAAAAGTACATCAGAACTCAAGGGCACCTATAACAACGTCAAGATCGCCTTCCACTAAGGCCACGACCCTTGACTTAACGTTTGAGAAGCAATCTGAGATGGAGACTAGAAAAACCTCAAAGTCGTCTACCGCACTAAGGGAAACCATTGCAAAGGCAAAAGCTGCACGGAAAGCAGCGATGCAGAACAATAATAGCTCCCAATCCTCGTCCTTGGATGATTTAGGTGTTGAAGATCCATTCAACCAGCGACCAAAGGATCCGCACAAAGGGCTCCTTGGCAAACGTCTCGAAGCAGGTCGAACCTCAGGCCATTTGAATATTGCGGCCATGTCCTTGGCAGCATTACCAGAGGAAGTCATGGCCATGTATGATTTCGACCCTGACTCAGTCACAGAGTGGTATGAGAGTGTAGACATTGTCAAGTTCATTGCTGCAGATAACGAGTTCGTCGAACTTCCAGATTCCGCTTTCCCAGACCTCGATCCAGAGGATCCAGATGCTGATGAGAGGGGAAACCAGTTTGGTGGGCTGGAAATCCTCGACTTGCACGGAAACTTATTGCGCTCACTGCCAATTGGTTTCCGGCGACTACAGCGTCTTCATACCCTCAACCTCTCAAACAACAAGCTAAGCTTGGAAGACATACAGATCATCATGGAAATGGGATCTGTAAAGGACCTCAAGCTAGCGAAAAATCAACTTCAGGGAGCATTCCTTGCTGATATAAAGAATCTTCACAACCTGGAAGTTCTTGATCTTCATGGCAACTCTCTCACAGAGCTACCGGATGAACTTGCGTACTTGACTTCCCTACGAATTCTGAACGTGGGTGATAATCATCTGTCAACTTTGCCTTTCGAGGGCCTAAGCAAGCTTTCATTGAAAGAGCTCAGCGCTCCCAACAATCGTCTAAAGGGTACTTTGTTCCCTGCTTCTGTACAGGCGCTTATGACCTTACAATCTCTGGACGTAACTGGCAACGCCCTAACAAAGCTTTCTGACCACGATACATTTGGATTCCCCAATCTACACACTCTAGCTATCAGTCTGAATCGCATCCAGTGTTTGCCGGATGTTTCTTCTTGGCATGCGCTCCTAAGTTTGTCAGCGGAGGATAATAGCATAGCAGACCTACCCCCAGGATTCGCTGAGTTGACTGCCATTCGAAACGTTGACTTGACGGGGAACAATATCTCAAAACTGGACGAAAGGATTGGGTTGATGGAAAGCCTTGTCACATTTCGCATTTCGAACAACCCTCTAAGGGAGCGAAAATATCTGAATATGTCTACTGAGGACCTGAAGCGTGAGCTCCGAAACCGGTGCGAGCCAGAGCTACAAGATACGGATGACGAAGAGGGCTCGGTCGCAACCCAGTTCACGCTCGCACCTGAGGCCCCAGCTCAATCAGGCGTTTGGCAAGTCAAACCTGGGGGTGTCGTCGACAGATCGTATGCTGATCTTCAAGAGCTGGATATGAATAATCTGGAACGTATAAACCCGCATGAGGTCAGATGTCTTTACTTGCAACACAATGAATTACGCTGTATTCCGGCACCGACTCTCAGTATGCTCGCGCCTAATTTGACCGATCTTGATCTTTCACACAACCCACTGGATAGCACTTCGCTCTTAGCCACATCGCTGGATTTACCCAGTCTCCAAATCCTCAATTTGAGTGCCACCGGCTTAACCACTCTTGAGCCACTATTAGCCAATCTTCGAGCCCCTTCGCTCACTTTCCTAGATGTATCCAATAACCGCATTTGTGGGTCTCTTCCACCGGTCCGTCAAACCTATCCAAGCCTGATGACATTCCTCGCTGCCGATAACCGCTTTGATAGCTTGGATTTTGATGCCATCCAAGGCCTTCAGGTTCTTGATATAGGCAATAACAACATCAATTCTCTACCACCAAAGCTGGGCCTTTTAAGAGCCGAGGGTTGTAGTAAGAACTGGGGCAATGGATCGGCGCTGAAGAGATTCGAGATCGCGGGTAATAGCTTCCGTGTCCCTCGCTGGCAAATTGTTGCCAAAGGAACAGATGCTATCCTCGAATGGCTAAAAGATCGGATACCCGCTGAAGATCTTTCTCAATGGGAGCCTGATGATGAATCGAGCACATAGGAAGTGCATTGGGTACCGATCAACAACCTAATGATACCATCAATTCTGTCACCATCTTCATACGTGTGTACATAGGACCTTTTCTGTCTTCTTCCAGTAGAGAACTTTTTTGCTCTACAGTCGCTACGCAATGACAGGAATAGCCACTGAGGACATTCTTCGCGCGATATAAGTACAACGTTAAAAATCGAAACATTATACACGCCACCAGACATGTTGAACAATAGATTACATGGTAGTTTGCATGTTCAGGCTTTCTAAAGAGAAGAATATTCACTGTGACTTCGCTTCCTTGAAGTCATCAAGAGGTTTACTTACCCCATCTATCACTTTCAGCCATGTCTTCGACCAGTCAGTAAATCTATCCTCGGCTTTTTGCTGGCTGTTGGCCACACTCTGTTCAGTCCAAGGCAAAACCACTAACTTGACTGCTTCAACAGCGCAGTCCTTTGTTCTTTCCAAGTACTGAATAGACCGTTCTAGATCCGCTTCATATAGTGCCCCCGCTACCTCGTCAACTTGCTCCGGAATACGGTGGAGGTTGGTCATAAGGGATTCCAGCCGGTTAACAAGGGAAGGCAAGAATTCAGGAACCTTCTTCAGGCGATTCGTGATGATTGCGGGGTAAATCTGGACAACTGGTTTGAGCAGCCGAATAGCAGTCCCTTTCAACTCATGAAGCACAGCGTTGTCTTCGCCATCGTCCTCGGCTAATTCGCTTCGCCACCTTTTCCAATACTCTGTTTCCCGTCGTCGCTCAGAAGCTCGTCGAAAAACTCGTCCCCTTCTTCATCAGGATCCCATTCGTCAATCTCTTCCACTGCATCTCGCACCAGATCTCTCCATTCTTCCACACGCCGTATTACAAACCCAACAACGCCATTTGAAGCGAGGTCAATCAAGGCATCGCAAGCACCCCAGACCCGTCCTGTAGCTACCGTAACGAGGTCTTTCTCAGACTGTGACAGTTCGATTCCCTTCTTCTTCATGCGATCCTGTACTTCATCATTCCTCTCTGCGATTGACTGAACTTCTTTCACAAGCGATGACAGTTCGTTCAGCCCCGTCTTCGTTAGTGATAGAGCCTCGGCCTGAAATGCTTTGGTGTGATCGGTCGGTGTAATGAGTAGAGCTGCTGTCACAAAGGATGGGAGCACTGATTCGTTCAGGTTAGAGAGGATGGAGCCGACGGCGGAGGGCGTAAATGGAGAGGTGACGGCTAAAAGCGAAAGCTTGGTGACTTGTGACTTAAGAGCTGTCGACGATGCCGAGAGGAGGGGAAGTGCATCTCTGCTTGAGAGTTCTGCGGAGGTTGAATCTCCAGAGGGTGACGACAAGGTCAAGTGGAATTGCTCCACGAGGGTAAGGGTAGTTGTAAGAGTGACGTGGAGCTTTGGTGACATTCTGACCGGACTGTACACAGATAGGTGTTTTGGTTGGGCTCGAACAGCTCAAGACAAGTTTGGGAGAAATTTTGGATTACAGAACTGCGGGGCCGTTTTTTAGGGCTCTGCGGGGTCACCTGCGGCTGACCTTGGTGATAGCGTTTGTACTCTACATTCATACGTACAGCTTCGTTAATCTACTATACTTGTGGAATTTTGTCCATTACAACTTTATATGTCTTGTATATTCGAGTTACCAATTTAACAAAAATGTTATGGATGCCCTGACGTTTGCATATAAACATACAAGTAGATACACTATCCTAATTAGTAGATATAGCTATATCTCGTGCTAACAGACGAATGGAAATAATAGGCCATTGCGAGCATTCCTAACTACATAGATTAACATCAACTCTATATAGAATTTTCCAATCGTTATATTCAACAAACAGTAGCTTTCCTGGGTTGAGCAAAAACCTCGTGCTGGGCAACCATACGGAATCGCCTGGGGTGGGAGCTTCATGTTTATCATCCCCGACTATATTCTTGACACACCTAGCAGTGACAATTGATGACCAGTCCATGACCATCTCAAGGTACTCCGTGTATATATTACAGGTGTTGCAATATATATGCTCAGAGAGGTTTGAATCGAGCCCTAAGGCTGAGCCCTATATTTCCTAATTCGTGAAGCTGACCGCTCGGCATCTCCGGTCCCCGTCGACGGACAGAATGCTCCGGATTGTTTCCATCTCCAACTACTTCAAGACCACTAAGCTTTGCTTTGAACGTTTAGTGGTCCAATGCACGCTTGAATACCTGCATACTAGATACTATACAATTTATGCCCCAAACCATGGGAACCACCAAAGTGCGCCCTTCTGGAAAAGCTTCCGTCGCAAAGGCCCAAACTTTACCCGAGAGGACTTTCATAATCGACAATGGCGCGTATACGATGAAAGCCGGCTATGCGCCCGACTCTATTACGGAAGATGAAATAGAGGCACTGTCCGTTTGCTCTATTATTCCTAATGCGCTCGCCAAGACTCGCGATAACCGCGTCTACGTCGGTTCGCAACTTAATACTCATGTTACGGATTGGAATGAGTTAATGTTCCGACGTCCGGTCGAGAAGGGATATACTGTAAACTGGGAGGCGCAAAAGGAGATCTGGGAGCATTCATTTTTTGACGAGAAGACTGTGCGAAGCAAAGACCTGCGGATTGCCAAACCGGAAGAAACGACGCTTGTACTGACTGAAGCTCCAAACGCTTTACCGGTGCTGGAGAAGAACGCAGACGAAATTGTAATGGAGGAGTGGGGGTTTGGTGGCTATTTAAGATGTGTGGGTACGGTTGCGACTGACACTGTTATACTGCTGCTTGGATACCTGGCTAATATTGTCATGTTAGGCCCGTCGCTAAACGCCTGGAACGAAGTCCAATCCTTATTCGGAGACCCCATCGTGCAGAAGTATGACTCGGCTCTTTCGCCAAGAGAATGCCTCCTCGTGGTCGATTCAGGCTATTCTCACACGACAGTTACACCGCTGTACAAAGGCCAACCTCTTCAGCGTGCGGTTCGCAGGCTTGATCTTGGAGGTAAACATCTTACGAACTATTTGAAGGAGATGGTATCAATGAGGCAATACAATATGGTGGAGGAAGCATATATCATCAATGAAGTGAAGGAAGCAGTGTGCTATGTCAGTGATGACTTTTCCCGGGATATGGAACGGACTTGGAAAGGCAACCGAAAGCGTGGTCAACTCGAACCTGATGAAGGTGTCACGGTCGACTATGTCCTGCCAGACCCAAATGGCAGCAAAAAGGGATTTATGCGACCTCATGATCCTCTATTGAATGCCAAGAAGAGGAAAAGTGCACTCTCAGGTGCTACCGCTGAGACTTTATCTGAGGATGTCTTGGTCCTGAGTAACGAGCGTTTCACAGTCCCTGAGATTCTATTCACCCCAAGTGACATCAGTATGAAGCAGGCTGGCATTACTGATATGATTCTCCAGAGCCTCTCTGTGCTGCCAACGGGGTTACATCCTGCCTTCTTGGCAAACGTGCTAGTTGTTGGAGGAAACTCCTTGATTGCTGGATTCATGGAAAGACTGTGAGACATCTTCTCGTTCAGTTCTCGTTTTCATACATTACTAATTCGCTGTAGGGAGAAGGAGCTGCGTGAAGCCGCTTCGGCAGAATGTGCTGTGAGGGTTCGACGGCCTCAGGAGTAAGTTTGCTATTACAGTGTAGATATTAACTGTGCGCTGACGGCCTCTGGAAACAGTCCAATTCGCTCTACCTGGCTTGGGGCAAGTCGACTAGCCACCAATAGAGAAGAAATGAAGAAGGTTGCTATTACTCGTCAGGAATATCAGGAGAATGGCTCTGCTTGGGCTGGGAGGAAATTTGCTGGCACTGTATGAAATCGGGTGCATTATTTCGTGGTGTTCAGGGTTGGGATCTTTGGAGTACATTGCGTTTAACTGAATTTGGCACAAGCTGGCGACTTGGCTTGATGGCCTGTTTGATAGCATTTGCTAGTGATACCCTTGGATTTGAACATGCTTCTGTTTCTAATTCCTAGAGATGATGACAGCCAGTCGCTGTATGACCCTAAGATATGCCTGTTTCTCTGACATGAAGAGTTTTGAGATTGATATTGAGCTAAATTGCGATAGTTGATATGGTTTATTTGCTGCACCATTGTTGAATGATTCGACATACTGTCCTTCGCTGGGAGGAGATGTTGCGGTGAGGCCGGAGTCGCAACGGGATTTCTATTTATTGATGGATGGGGAAGGGCTTCCGATTGACCGACACAGGCAACAACTTATGGTATAGAAATAAGTGGGTAGTAGAGGGTTCTAAGGTTCCGTCCTTGTGCCCCGCAGAGTTTTTCTTTTCTCTCTTAATCTGTGTTCTTTTTGCAACCCTTCAACCCAACCAACTGTCCACGTCAGTAAGGCGCTACCCAGCCAGAGTACTTGGCACACCAACCCGTCACAATCCAGCTGATTTTCTCGACGACTACAAACAAATACGGATTAGAGGGTCAACCTTTTATTATGATTCTTTGTGTTTATTTTTTCTGCATGCGTACTTGTATGGACCATGACGGCATTGTCAGTATCATAGAGTCAAAGGTCCCCATCTACGTGGAAAACCAGTGGTAGATTGAGTACTTCAAGAATGGTTGGTTGTCGTAGCATGCGACGATCATAATCGGGTAACGGGGCTTGGACATGTGGCACGCGAATGGCCTATCCATGGCAGAGTCGCCGAGGTGGTGATGATATATCCACACCTGACTCACTGCTAGCATGCTATACCGACTTTCCTATATAGCTGACCCCTCACCTGACGAGATAATGAGCCAAATCACACCTTCACGCTCTACCAACAATAAGAATCAGACCTAGTTTCGTCAATTTCAATATTATGACTTTCAGCTCTTAGCTTTGCACGCGCAGTATCTCCGAGTGTCCACAACTATCAAATAGGAACTATGGCGTCAAGTTCCCTGACAATCTCCCAGAGAGTCAACCTGTCGATTCACCCCTTCAACGAGCTGGCAAATCTTCAGAACTAGCAGGCTAAATCGACGTTTCCCGAACTCTATCAGCATAAAACACCTCTTCTCTCAAAGTTCAAGATGTTCCTATGCAATCTGTCCGCCGCGACCTCGCGTGCCATCGAGAAACACAGCCGAGGAAGACATCCTTCGACTCGGGATAAGGGGGATGCAAGATTGTCGAGAAGTCATTTGAACGCGGAGTCTCCATTGGTAAACTCCAAACCTGTACACCTTCATCAAGCTAGTGACTGTTCAAGCATGGAGTGCCATCCACGGATCGAAAGGGGGAAGGCGGGGTCGAGGAGGAGCCGAGTTGCAGCGAGAATTGAGAAATGCCGACTCATTCAGCGCTTTTTCAGAAGGACGCCACATAAAGAGTAAGTTCTTACTGACGTACAAATCGGCCTGGCAGTGTAAGCTGATGTCACTTAGGCCCTGCGTGAGCTGCCTCGAGAACATGCCAGCTGATAAGTTGGTGAACTTGCCTTGTCGGCATAAGTATTGCAACACGTGTCTCAGGCAAATGGCGGCCACAAGTATGGCAGATGAGCAATTATTCCCACCGAGATGTTGTTCCCGGAAGATTCCGTCAGAGACCATCCTTCCTTTACTGCCACAAAATGAAAAAGACTCATTTGTCTCTAAAACAACTGAGTATGCAACCCCGGTTCCAGATCGCTGGTACTGTCCTGCATCAAAATGCGGGAAATGGATACCTCCAACGGCTGTGAAGGCTGAGAAATCTCAGACACAGACCTGTCCGCATTGTAGCGCGAGAATCTGCTCAAGGTGTCGCGGCATTGCCCACAGATCAGGAGATTGCTCTTCTGATACAGGTCTGTCCGCAGTCCTTGAAGTGGCTCGGCTTCAGCGATGGCAGAGGTGTTTCAATTGTGGTGCGGTGGTGGAACTCATATTTGGCTGTGATCACATTACCTGCAGATGCAGCGCACAGTTCTGGTAAGGCGAGCCCTGTGTATAAGTTTGATATGACCCATGCTGATGATGCTCAGCTATAAATGTGGTAACCCATGGTCTTCGTGCGTTTGTGTCACACCGGCAGAGAGACCTGTAGATTTTTTACATTCGTGATTGATGGCAATGCGCTAAACCGTGACGAAGAAGCCGGACTTATAGCAGTTCTTGCTGCCATGCTGTGCCATGAAAGAGAATCAGAAGAGCCACTGATTGACAAGGGGAGGAAGGGAACTCAAGGTTGCCGGACAGAAGGTTGTGTGGTTCGGGATGGAAATATCGCCAAAGTTGACCTAGGTATCTAAGGGTACCACTATAGACCACCTCGAGGAAAGTTTTATATCGTAATGGCACCATCGAACTCGCATAATATCGTTTACCCCGATAGGAGCAACTGTAACCCTATAGACTGTTGATACATTCGAGTAATCTATTTTTATAGCAGTGTAACAAGGATATCAAGACGTAACTAGTGAGCAAGGATCAAACACTCAATCAGTATTCGTAGAAGCCCTTTCCAGTTTTCTTGCCCATCCAACCAGCATCGACCATTCTCTTCAAAAGCCCGGATGGCCGGTATTTGCTGTCTCCAGTCTCCTGATGCAAAACGTTCATGATAGCCAAGCAGGTGTCAAGCCCAATGAAATCGGCCAAAGTCAAAGGTCCCATAGGAACGTTGGTTCCATTCTTCATTATATTGTCAATATCTTCGCGGGAACCGATTCCAGTCTCAAGACAGATGACTGCCTCGTTAATGTAGGGCATGAGTATACGGTTAGCAAGGAAACCGGGCGAGTCAGCGGAGACAGATGCAATCTTGCCCATGCGCTGCACAAACGCGATAGCGGTGTCGAGCGTCTCTTTAGACGTTTGCAAGCCAGAAATAATCTCAACCCCCTTCTGTACAGGAACTGGGTTCATGAAGTGCGTCGAGATCACTCGAGAAGGAGCTTGAAGGTCTGTCGGGTTGGTAGTCGTCGCTGCAGCAATCTTAGTGATTGAGATTGACGAGGTGTTAGTCGCAAGAATGGCATGCTTAGGTGCAATTTGAGCAAGCTGTTTAAAAATCGAGCTTTTGAGATCGGGTATTTCAGGGACAGCTTCGATAACAAAGTCCACGGAAGAAAGGTCGTCCATATTCAGGCTAGTTGTGATGCGGGAGCGGACGGTATCGGCTACCTCTCGGGTAATACGTTCTTTGGAAACATCCTTATCAAGGAGTTTATCTATAAATAGTAATCAATTAGCTTAGAAAACGATACAGAGTGACAATTCCAGCGACGGAAAGAGCGTATAGGTGGTGAGCGTAGCCCCATACATACCGGCGAATTTGAGGCCCTTATCCAGAGATGCTTGAGAGGTGTCAACTAAGGTAACAGGAACTTGAGCCTTCTGTGCAGCAACAAGAGCGATCCCCAAGCCCTATTACCTATCAGATAAGCTGGAAGGCGTTGTGGCGTAATTTCATGTCCTACGTACCATTTGACCTGCTCCAATTACTCCCAATGATTTAACCTCGGCAGCATAAGCCGCGGAGGAACTGCTGAATGCGCGGGAGGCAATTGAGGGGCCTTTGCTGCAGAGAGACCGAAGGGACGATGACAACATTGTTGCGTTTCTGAATGAACTGAGCCTGTTAGTAAGGAATAGTGATGCTGGGAAGAAAAACGAACCAGCCGAAGACAACAACTGCGATGATCGATTGATATACTAGTACTATTTGAATCATAGCCGACATCCTTCCGCGGGACTCATGTGATCCAACGTCATCGGTTACCTTCGGCAGTCAGGAACATCCATTCCTCCGATATCCGAGAGCCTGGCACGCGAGAGCGCGTGAACCGACGCGTTACCATTGGTCCATGCAGTGAGCCCAATTTCCGTTCATTATCAACAATCGGCAATGGTGATAGAAGGTGAGGGCGACGACCGCAAGCATAACTGGCCACCATGAACGACGAAGCTGTGGCTTTTGGCCAGGCTGTTCAAGTTGTAGACCCCGATGTCCGCGCACACGTTTATAGTCTAGTCACTGCGGTGAGGATAGCTATTTGATTGAATACTTCAATCTTCGAAAAAATCTAATTGATTTACAGTTAGGTGGATTTAACGGCGAAGATGCGGACCGATACGTACTTGGAGACGATGCACTGGCTTGCTTGCGTGACATTAGGCGCTGGCTGAAATTGTATGACGAGAAATATCACCGCATGGACGTTGCTAGATGCCTTGGAGAAGCGAATTTGGTTAACGGGGACCTGCTACCGATCTTTTCGCTCTGGTGGAGCACTGGCCAAAAGAGTAAATACATGTCCAGGATCGCATTAGCGTGCTGTAAGTATAGGGCCTTACTGTGAACTTAGACTATTGTATTAATGACATGAAGTGGAATTGCTAGTTCCGTTGACCTGGCCATTGGAAGTCCACGGGGAAATGACTGTCAACCATCACCGACATTTTCCATACTTGCAGCACGCTCAAGTCTCTTATAAACGAGGTCTTCTGAGCCGTGGTAATCTCAATTTCCTTCGAACCATTATCCGAATTGGCCTTCCTAGCATGGCCGTTCCACGGTCTGAACGAACAACACGGGATGACGGTATTCTCAAACTTATGCTCTATTTGCTGCGAAATATTGTAGTGATCGCCCCAAATGCTCGTCTTGCAGCGGATGGTGATGAGGAGGAGACTTCTAGATCGGCGACTATCAATGCCTTTCAAGCTCAAGACGTATTTGCTCTCATTCTTACTATGTGTTCCAACGTTGGCGATGACTTCAATATGCAAGATGTGGTTCTCCTCGAGATACTGTTCCATCTGGTGAAGGGTGTCAATGTCGAGAAGCTATTCATGGATGATGCCCAGCGAAGCGCAAAACACACAGATGAGCTAGATACATTGCTGAGGCAGGAGTCATCTATGCGGCGGGAGTACGCCAAAAATGCACCCACTCGACACGGACGATTCGGAACCATGATTTGGGTCAAACGTGACGATGCTAAGGTGTCTACTGTCTCAGGGCAAGACGTTCTCAAAGATAGCCAAGCCACGTTCCAGAAAATGGATGAAAGCAAGAAGTGGAACAGGCCCCAACCACGCAGAAAACTTGAAGATTCAGTTCTCAACAATGATTTTAGTACGCCGGCCCATCTTAACTCCACCGCATCAAGAAACCTGCGGATGTTTGTTGAAGAATTTCTTGACTCTGGATTCAATCCTTTATTCACCCATGTTCGGAAAGCCTTGGAACGAGAAGCCGATCGTGTCGTACCCATCAATTCTCGTCAATTCTTCTATACCGTCGCCTGGTTTCTGGATGCCGAGCGCGCACGCCGTGCGCGCCAGAAGGAGATGCAGTTACAGAATGGAAAGTCCATAAAAGATTTGGAACCGGATGGTTTTGGGCTTGTCGCTGGTGTACTTGACCAAGAAACTCTCGTATTCCTAAACCGATCTATGCAAAATAGTTTCGACCAAAAAGACTGGGAAGACCTAAATGCGGAAATGCGCTGCTTCACTCAAATCCTGCTAACTGTGCAAGAAATGACACAGTCGCTCCTTGAGGAAGATCAGGAAATTGCCGAGAACATTCAGAACCGGATATTCTACGAAGAAACAACCCATGACCGTGTGCTTGCTATTATACGTGAGTACAAAGATCAAGGGTTCAGTTATCTGGATGCATGCACAGAACTTTCTCATGTTTTCTTGCGTATGCTGGAGCGATATTCTAAGGAGAATGTCAACATGCAAGTGCGATCTCGGCGGCGAGCGAGGCGCAAAAACAAAGAAGCTCAAGTAGCAGAACCTGAAGATAACAACGAAGAGCATGCATCCGATGATGAGGACATCATGGAGGCCGAACGAATTTGTAGGGAGCGTAAGTTCGACTTCAAGCGCTTTGCTGTCAAGTTTTGCAACCAAAAGTGTGTCGACACTTTTGTTGCTTTCACAAAGTTCTTTAGGGAACTTAACTCGGACCAATTAAAACGCGCCCATCGCTATTTCTATAGGGTCGCCTTCAAACAAGAAATGAGCGTCCTGTTGTTCCGCGTTGATATACTCAACCTTTTCTACACAATGATTAAAGGACCTGGCGCCATGGATTCAAATATACCAATCTTCAAGGAGTGGGAAGAGCTAATCCGACAAATTATCAGACGAACGATAAAGAAGATCGACCAGCGTCCCGCCCTTATTACTGAGTTGCTCTTCAGCAAAATGAACTCGACACTACTCTACCTAGAATATGGTCATGAGAGACAAACCCTAGCCCCGGTGAGAAAGGCACCAGCTGAACTTGAAGTCAATCCCAGTGAAGCAACGACGCAAGCGGAAAAGATAAACATTGTAGTTGGTGCACTGGTCATGGATGAGCAAACCGATTTGGTAGTGTGGGTTAGCAATGTTTTGGGCACGGCAGCGGAAGAAAGAGAGTCATGGGAGGCCCATGATGAGGCTCAGGGGGCACCAAGAGCCCCTAATCCGATGATTGGTATGTAAACCAGACCTGTTCTTGATATGGTCGATATTCTAACTTAGACAAGCTGTCCAACCTCACGACGATGCATGTAAACAGGCGATGTACTTCAACGCCAAGCTGCGTCTTCTCATGACTTTAGTGGGATTTGAGCGACTGGGAATGGAAGATGTTGTCGGAGCGTCCTGGGTTGTGCCGTCGTCACAAGGGTCAAAAGATCTCCGAGATATTAAATCGATGATCGATAAATGTCTTGAGGATCCATACACGGGAGACATTGAGCATGATCCTCGACAGATGCTTCGGCGCCGATACCAACCCGATAACAAGGAGCACAATCACCAAACTACATTTAATGTTGACTTTGGATCTGAGTCAGAAGGTGAAGATGTCCCAGATGGGCCTCTTTTCCCACCAAACCCTCGGTCAAAAGCGAACGCGCTCAATGAATTGAAAAAGCGCCGCAAGAACCGCCAAGGAGTTGATGAGCGCGAGCCGATAGACGAGGATACTCTGGAGGCGCGTCGTAAGGCGCGTCAGGAGAATACAAGAGCCCGTCTAGCCAAGATCAAGAGTGAACTGTTTGTTCATGCCAGTGACGACGAATCCGACGAGGAGGCTGACAAAGAATTCTTTGATCTCGAGGAGAAAAGGCGAAAAGAACAAGCTGCGCGAGTTAGAAAGGCATTGCTTACTGGCGTTGTAGACGAGATCGGCCGTAAAGCGAACAAAAAGAGCGAACGCAAACGACTAAGCAACCCTGGGAGTTCTAGCACGCAAAGTAAACGGCAACGGCGCGGCCAAACAACAGAAGCACTGGACGAAGACGATGACATTACTATGGGTGGTACTCTTGCTGGCTCGCCTGGCCATGCGACTGAAGACGACGAAGATGCTCCTGCCACGTCGGATGAAGACAATGAGTTTGATTTCGACGACAATCTAGCCTTCCGTCGAGATCGGGATCTAGACCAGGAGCCAGAATCACCTAGTCACAAGGAAGACATGCAACCCAGCGATACACATGAGTCAAGAGACAATGACGAGGACGCCCCAGTGACTACCTTGCCCCGAAGGCGGTTGCGTGGGGGGTTTGTGATTGACAGCGATTCTGAATGAGCTCTTTTGGTTTGATTCTAGTCCTTTGAGGTGCTACAGCTATGTAATGACCTAATGATGTTTGGCGTTTGTGGAGATAGATCTGGGATAGGATGGGAGATGTACATCACTATTACCACGCAAACAAAGCAACCCTGTGTATGGATCATGAAAGTGGAGAAATACATAGGTCGATGTTAATCGATGACCCAACCACTCCTCTTCGCCATCCTTGGCGTTTGTACTTTTCTAGCGTACTAACTGAGGCAATCCTTTTATTGTTGCATTCCCTCCAGATGAACAAAAATCCGGTATCCCCATCTTAACTCTGAGAGGCAAACTATCCATCACAGATGGGTTTAATTGTCGGAAACTGTCTCCATGCACGCTGGGAAGGGTGGCACACGATTGACATATTCACCACCGAGATAGAGATTCTCTGGTATACTTCTATGTATGGGATGTCAAGAATCCTTGCTACCATTGTTATTCACACAAGGGCAATTCTAAGAATCACCGAGTTGTACCTACAGGAAGCGCGGCCGGTGGATGGGCGGTATATCTGTCGCCGACGCAGGACAAGCCTGTGAAGTACTTATAGAGAGCATTGTACAGGGAGTGGAGATGGGAAGGCGCACTGAAATCGGACTTGCGATTGAAAATAATGAGAGGAGCCAGACCGAGATTCTTGGTCTGGAAGAGGAGATCGTGAAGATGTTTGAAGGGGACATTACGATACTGCACGAGATCTATAAGGGCAAAGACAGTTAACTAAGACATACAATGTCCCGGCAGCTAAGAAAAGCTAAAAAGACAAAGCACAGTTCTATATAGGTACTATCAGATGATGAAGAGACAATGCATTCCATTCACTCTGGTTTATTGCTTTTTCCCAATGTCCTCGAACCATGCCCTAGCAACCGCTTACACACAGACTCATGTTGCTTCTTTCTCCCCTTCCACTTTATGTTGAGTTCTCCTCCATCAAAACAGTGGTTTTTACCTAGAGCATAAAGAAGGGCTTTGCTTTCGCCGAACTCATAGTAGTCCTTGTTTCACATTGGATCTGTCACCTACCCACACCCTCCCCATTTCACATCATTTCGACGCCCTTGTGAAGTATACGGAAAACAATTATGACGGAAAAGCAAGGCCGCAAATCGTCTCTGGTGGGCTCTCTACAGATTCTTAGGAGCACATTCAATGCGCGACACAATCAACGGGGGCTTGAGGATAACAAGGACATAACCAATGGGAGGAACACACACAGAGAAGCACATAGGAGCAGCTCACTTCCACCCATCACTACCGGCATCTGCCATTCATCCCAACGGCAACCAATCGTCCACACCTGCCGCCAATCTTCCATGCCACTGTGCCAAAAAAATCCATTGTGGAAGTACAACAACATCAACAGCGACCCACAACGCCTTGAAATCAGTAATAGTAGGTTACAGACACATGACTCCAACGTGCGGGCCCAGCACAGAGCCTCATGCTCCCACTGTCTAACAGGTTTAGAGTGTTCTTCGACCAAAATAGTTTCAAGGATTCCAACACCAGCGAAATCCCCTGCAGGAGATCTGTACTCCCATGAAGTATATCGAAAAGAAGGCAGAAGAAGTGTGCTATCATCCTTGGGAAGACAATGTGTGGACATGAACAAAGATGCAGGCATCATTTACAAAACGAATCTGGATAAGGAAGAAAGGAAGGATTTCATCCGCCGTAGTGATACACAAATGCTCAGTTCTGAGAGATACATGTTCGACACTGACGCGACTTCAGCACCTAGGTTTCAGATCCGAACTCACCACCAGAGAACCAGCGGCATACAGAGAGCTACAACAGAACTATCCTCAAAAATATTCTCCAACAGCATGCATTCGAAAAATCCTACTCCTGTTCCCTGTGTCACTGTATTCAAGGCAGGCCGTCCATGCAGCTTGCTGGCAGATATTGATGCCAAAAGCCGACCCGCCACTCGACTGTTCGATCCTATATCAGCATTCATCTCACGGCTTGAGACAGGAGCACAGAGGAATGATTACATTAAGAATGATGATCTCAGTGCTAGTGGCCGGAGTTCCGGGACTGTCAAGGTACTGCTACCTTCGAGGAAAGAGCGAATTGGATACCGTACTGTTCCCAAAGGAAAGTTGGCAACACACCACCATCAGTTGTTGGAGACTTGCCAACCTGCGGACCCAAAAGCAAAAGCCAACACACTCAAAAAAAGTGACAAAATGGAATATGTTAAAAAGGGTCTCCGATGGACGAACGGCTTCGAGAACCTGAAGCTTGAAATCAAAGCAAAAAACGATGCATTTTCACCACCTAACCCTCCTAAGGCCCCGAGCCGAAGTGCTACAAGGCTAAGCCCCCTACCAGACACTGGAAATTTACGGCATAGGGATCAAATGGGGAGAATGGTATCGTCGAGGAGCCACCCCCCTGGGTTCCGTTCGAAGCTGAAGAAGCCAGGGCTAACAGTCCATGCCGACTGGGTTTCGCAGGTCAGTGAATCTCAGCCTCAACAATACTGGCTCGGTAGATTCATCACCCTCGTCAATGCTTTCCACTACGAAGACTCCTTCCATGAGCCGGACATCGCAACCGGGTTCGGCATGTTGTCAAGTTATTCTCGTCCGTTAGGACACCCAGATTCAAACGAGGCGGGCTACCGGATCAAACGAGCCTTCATGGTCCTCGAAAATGTTTGTATGAACGATGAAGCAAGTGCGAGTCTACGAAAGTTCCGATACGAATACATTGGCAAATTTGGAGATAGGTGGATGATATGATGCCCTGTTGGAAACGATGGTTGATCGCAGGTATTGGCTTGAATCGCCACCATGTACGGAACGGAAATCAAGAGGCGCCTAGAATCGAGAATGTCTATCTGTAACCCCTGTTGAAGCCTTGCCGCTTCCTTGTCAGTATGGTAAAACCTGTTCTGCTAGCGTATATTGAAGAGAGCCTGGCTAGAGGTATTCGCTGTACTAAGACGCAGCACGGGACGCACTTGCTCACAATCTAGGAGCTGGGAGGTTTTGTTTATGGTATAGGAAAGAAAAGCCTCCAATTGTTCAGGTGATGGGATTTACGAGTTGGCGAAAGTATGGTTGTACTGCTCCTGAAAGCTCAATACGGTCTTTATTAAGATGGATTACCTACTATACTACATATATGATGAGAACCCCAGTATAACATGCTAAATTCAAATCGTTTTCGCAGAGTTTCCATTAACGCCAGAACTGCACCAAGCCACTTTGCGCCCTTTTCAAAGCATCATCTGTCCAGAATGCTAATGCCAATCATGCCCCCAATCCGTGTTTTGCACAAATCTATTTCCTACTCCTCAAGAAAGCTGCAACTTGCTCATGCCTCGTTACAAAGAACATCCGCTTTCGGTCTGACTTCCAGACGAGAACCCCGATCTCTTCAGCGTACCGACATGGAGCCTCATATTCTGCCAAACTAACAAAGTCCTTGAATAAGAAGCCAGGGGTTGCTTTGACGCGATCTCGTTCCAGTTGCCAAAGCCGAATCTGATCAGTGACCGTTGGGGGCAGAACAGATGGCGGTATTCCAGCCTGGTTGGACGTAGATCGGGAGACATTGTGTTTGCGCATCTGAGGGTGAGCGTGGGTAGCCAGGTACGAGATAATTTGGTCGGCAGTGATACCCATCTCTATGGCGCGGCGCACTGACTGGCGGGTAATTTTGCCAGTTATCAAATTGGGAAAGCGGTACTTGAGTGTAGTGAAAAGTGCAATAAGAGAGATCTGTAGTGGTGAAGAGGTATATGCATACAGCCGGTAGTTTGTTTCAACGATGATGAATCCCGATCCTGCCTTGCTTGAGCCTGGACCAGAGGGACCGGAGAGGGAGCCTGAGATAGGGTTGCTCAAGGCGCTGGAGTCGGAGGTAAGAGTAGTAGCGAGGCGGGTGGGGTAGAAATGGCTGGTATCCGGGGAATCTTGGTAGACAATGCCAAAATCCGCCAGATCCGTCAGAGTACGGAGTTGATTAGATGTCAGATGCTTCTTATCGTATGATTTTCCAAGCTCCAAGCTGCTCAGCAAGAAAACGAACGAGAGGACCTCCACACTGCTCATTCCGATGGCGTCCGCGCTTTCAACATAGAGCATGAGGATGTGCCAAACTTGGGTGCTGACATCCTGTAGAACAAACGCGAATCCATCTTTTGTGATCTCTACGCGACGATCTCGAATCTCGACAAGGTGTCCAGCCTGCAAAAGTTGCTTCACGCCTTTGCTCAGGTTGACATCGCGCTGAATACCAAGTCCACTAGTTCCGACCATGTATCCCAAGACCCCCTCCCACTGACGCCGAGCGTACTCGTCCAATTCGGCTATGGAGACGGCTGCTCCATCTGATAAATGCGAGAGTACACCAAAGGACTGGGTCTTTTCAGCACCTGTGAGCGCCTGACGGAGCGATGAAGCAAACGGATCGGTGACTATGTACGCGCGAACGTTATCTGCGATCACGGTGTTAGATAGAATATGTAGTCGACCCAGTATTGACAATGCATTATCTCGCTCCCTTCAAGCGATTAAGCCCGTCAGTCATCCGATCCGCAAATCACGAAGGCTTTCCAAGTCACCACTCACTTTAAGCTTTCTGCCTTAACCCAGACCTCCAGATCCGTTGCTGGGAGAGGGTCTTTAAGATATAGAAGCGCCATGACGAAACATTTTGCTGGATTATCTGTTAGTTCCCATTACCATAGGATATTTCAAGAGTAGAAGCAAGTGCGTACCCAAGTCAGGCAACATGCGCCTGAAGATGGCGAGAGCGGTGGACGGCTGCTGGTAGAGCTTGTAGAAAGTCGTTCCAGGCAGACTTTCCAGATAATCAAATGGACGGGAGGGAGCGGCGGCCATGGCCATATTGCCTGTGGGTCAAATAGGAGCTGTCACCCCTGCAACATGATGTGAGCCACAAAGATTGGCTGAGGCGTAACATACAGAGATCAATCTTGATGTGGAATGGATAAGATTTGCTCCGGTGACCAAAGCGGCTTCGGAGCGCAGTCCGAGGCGATGAAATCATTTATCTCACGGGACTTGACTGTATAACTAACCACTTATATTCTTGGTCTCCCGTAACCTTCTACTTCCTTTTTCTCCTATAGTTCCCTTGATAAAATGACGGCTTTGCGGTTCGTTAGATCGGTATGTAATCACGACTGCTATTGCTTCATTCCTTCAACTAATGTTATTGCTACCCCCAGGTTTGGGAGTCCTTTCGGGCTACATCGGGGCTGGAGCCTCGGTAAGTGACGGCATCTATGACTAGGAAGGGCCTGTTACTGAACTTTGATCGCTGCGAAAGACTACTGGATAATGTAAGGTCTATCATGGCTAAACTGCATATCTCTTTAAGATACAATGACTTCAATCATGAGGAATGATAATGGACTCATTCATTCCGTTTGCTTTCGTAAACATTGGCCACAAGCTGAATGTACTGACGGCTCCAGCTTCGTGTGACTGCCGCAAAGCCTGGTCTGGTGAACTTTGAGCTAGATATTCAGAAAGAGCATACGGTATGGATTCAATCTAGAGTATGCTGACTCAGACGACTAACTTCCGTGCCAGAATCGTCTGAACATTCTCCATGGCGGTACTATTGCTAGTATGGGTATGAAAGCATGACCATATATTGTTTTTCTCTCATCCTGGCCATACCACTTACAAGCTTGTATTGATATTACAGTGGACCTTGGCGGTTCTCTAGCTGTCGCCTCGCGTGGTCTGTTTGCTACTGGAGTGTCAACCGATCTCAATGGTAAGCTACAGCCCAAGCTAATTGTTGAGATTGATGTCCAACGTGCAGGATGGGTCTCTGATTGTCGATCTAGTGACGTATCTGAGCTCTGGGGGTAAAGTAGGAGATAAAATTCTAGCCGTATGTTAATCGAGGCCCCATGCCAGACATTTACCAGGCCCAATATTTAGCTGTGTGGATCCGTGCATGCTGATATCGCTACAGGAAGCTAGCTGTGATAAATGTAGGTTCACCGGCCATCAATAAACTAACCCGATAATGCGGGACCTGCAAAGACATTCACAGTTGTCCTTTGAGTCCCTAACGCAGTGTCTAACTTTTTCAACAGTCGGCAAAACGCTCGCATATACATCTATCAAATTCATCAACAGCAAAGGCGAAATTGTTGCCAGAGGAAGTCACACCAAGTATGTAGTCTTCCCACGATGTAACCACATCGTAGGATACCACTATACTAATCCCTCAATAGATATATTGCGCTCGCCTGGAAGGACCCGCAGAACATTGTTGAGGAGCTTGGCGGGCGGCGGTCATGAATAGAAAGTGCTATCCTGTGAAGACTAAACATCAGGTCATTCACTTATATATATACTTGGACCCCAATAGGGACGCAACCGCTATTATATATAAATAGTATAGACAATACTAGTGGATCTTTTCTGCAGCCTACGAATTCAGTCATCTCGCATATATTAAGATAGCGGTGGGCTTTGCTGCAAGCTGTCCACAGAACGAATTTCATGATACACATTGGAAGACCATTTCATGTAGTATCCAGCCAATAAAATCAAAACTCGAACAATCGTTTTCCAACCTATTCGGGTTGAAATCCCATAATTTTTATTCTTATACCAATGATCCTGATAAAATGAAGACACACGCGATACAACGCCACCGTCCTTGAGCATTTTACTGCTATTCTGAGTCCATGGTCTCACAATCCTCAATTCTGTAGCCCTGTGTACAAGACCAGACGGCACTTGTACTAGTTGGGCCGCAGAATTTCTACGCTCCAGTGAAGACATGCTCGTGTAGAGGGTCTTCATCTTGTTCTTCACCTGCACCAAGCATGACCTCGTCCTCATCCATTAGACCCTCCTCACCATTCGGCATCGCGTCCTCAACCATGATGTCTTGCTCTCCTATTGCCTTGAGCTTAGCCTGAGTCATTTCGAACACATACTGGCCAAGATGTTCCACTCCTTCCATCGGTGTGCCTTGAACCTCATCGCCCAGCGCTCGTGCAGTTGGGAACATTTCGCCTGGAGCAAGCATGAGCTTATCAGGGCGTTGGAATAATATGTCAAATGCTGGCTTAAGCTCATAGCACGACTCGAATACCTCGCGCCGACCGAGTATGTAGAGACCAAGACGGGCACGAGAAAGTGCAACCGTTAGGCGACGGACATCACGTAGGTAACCAACCGTACGAGTCCGTGTGAGTGATAGAATTACATCTGTAGCTCCAAGTCAGTAAAGGGTTTCACAGACAATTTGGTTAAGAGATAAATGGGAATCGACTTACAGTCGTTTTGTTCGCCTTGATACTTGTCCACGGTAGTCACGATCTTCGGCATGCCGAACAAGGCATTCTTAGCGCAGCGGTGATTCAAGACATCCTTTATCAGCGCTGTTTGTCCCGCATAGGTAGCAAGAATGGATATCTTCGACGCTGGGTAGCCAAGTAACCGCATGTATTGATAGAGGGCTACGGCGTATTCTGCTTCGCCCAGGTTTTGAATGAAATGAGGTGCAGGTTCCCGTTCACCCGTGCCCTGGTAATCAGGAACGTTGATGAATTGGTAATCGAACTGGAACCCAGCATTCGCCTGCTTGAACTCATCGGCTGTCTCAACAACTGATAGGTCTCCCAGTTGCTTGTAACGCCAGCGAAATAGTTCTGCGATGCTACGTCTCGAACGACCCTGCTGATCAAGCGTAATTACAGGGACACCCAATCTTACCAGGCGAAGGAAGAGACTTTGTTCAAAATGTGCGTATTGCCGGAACGCAAGGTTTTGGATGATTGGGGAATTCTGGAGATGGTCACCGCAGAGTACCACGCGTTTCAATGGGAGTTGGCCACCCTTCATTGTTTGCAAGGCGGAGGGAATGAAGCTTTCAATCTCTGTGATCTGTGCGGCTTCTTCCATCACAACATTGTCATAATGGAAGCCAAGATCGGCAATCTCCTGGCGGCGCATTGCTGCATGTGTGGATGTCATTGCGATGATCCTGGCCTCTTTCACTAGGAGGTAATTAGCCTTGTCTTTTGGTTGCCGTAAGATCTCAAATGGTCGAATATCTTCTAGCTCAAAGAATATCTTGTCAATGTGCCGCTGGCAACCTTCTGCTACATCTAGCACTGCCTCTTTAGGGCCTGAAGGGTCGAATACGGGCTGTGGGGCATTGGAAAAGTAAGCATGGAATGGGAAAGCTGCAATGATCTCTTCGAGAGAGATATTTTCGGTGCGGGCCTGATCCCAAAATTTTGCCCATGCAGGCTGAATGTATACAGTGTTGAAGTACCCGGCGGTCTCGCAGGTGCTTCCATGAGCGCCTGTGCTCCAATCGATGATGCTAACCGTGTAACTTCAGAGAGATAATAGTTACGGTTATCGAGGAACGATTCAACCCGGCCATATTTGCTATAGCTTGACTCGGTCTCCAACTCTTCTTCGCCGTGACCAAGGCGCAAAAGGTGGCGTTCGTCGATATCTAGTGCAACTATCTTCTGGAAAAGTTGGTTTAACGCCTGGTTGCTGTGCGCAACCAACAGCGTGCGCTCATTAGGGAAATCATGGTAAATGTTATTAATGATTTGCGTTGCAACATCCGTCTTTCCAGTTCCGGGAGGTCCGACGATAATAGTTAACCCAGGCTGTGTCCCAGATGCGATAGCTTCCACCTGAGCTGGTGTGAAGCGGACAGAGTTTAGTTTGGGCGCATCGACAGGATACGGGCCTGGGTTAGGTGGCTTATATGTCGAAACACGAAGTGAGTATGAGGGTGATTTTTCCTTCTCGGTTTGATCTCTCCGCCGCTTCTTGGAGGCATTCGCAGAAGGCGTTTTTTGGGAATCTTCAACATATTCGAGCACATAAGGCGGTCCAAAGCTTGATGTCTCCTCGCCAGAAGGTTCAATTGTTGTCCCCGGGAAGCTTTCGACCAGATGCTGCCAGTCCAAGAACGTATCGCGAAAATCGACCGACTTAAGTCTGTTCGGCAATTCTGTGTAATGGGCCCCTGCAGGATCCCCATAACCCAAAAAAATGTCTTGCAGCCAAGAAGGAAGAGTGATATCGGAGACAATGAGCCTTTGCATAGTCTCCAGTATCGATTTGAAATTGTTTTCCCTTCCCTTTCTCCTTGCGACTACGTTGACCAGCGGATAAATATCTGGCTTTCCCTGCATGCTGCGATCTTTGTCCGTTTTGAAGGCATCGGGGTCAAGATTAACCAAAAGTCTCCTGACGCGTGGTCTCGACCGATGGCCATTGGTCTGCCCCGAAACGGGTTCGCGCAATGGACGGCCATTTTCATCAAGGACCTGCACAATTTCCGCTGTTCTGAGGTGCGTTAGGCTAGGGGTATCAATTGAGGTGGGGTCCTGGAACGCCAGTTTGTTTGCAGCGCCAGGCTGCACAGCCAGAAGGAAAACCACGTCGTCGGGGCGGAGGGACTCCCATTCCATCCGGACGTGGTCTGCCAGCCTGCCAACCTCAATCACGATCTCGGCTCGCACGAAAGCTGGGTTTGTGAAGCCAACCTTCGGGGGCGCAACCTCGATGATAGCAGGTTTCGAAATAGGGATAGCCATCCGGGAGAACCCATCAAAAGTCAGGCTTTTGCCGTCTCGACTGGCTCGGGGCTGCATTCGCTTGACGATCGTTTCCATATCTTTGCGAATTTGGAAGAAGGCTTCGGATCGATACAAGAGGAATGAGCGCCATAGAAAGTCTCCTAGGCTCAAGTATTGAAGGTTCAATTTTGGAATTGCAAGTGGCCTAGATCCGTCATAGGTTTCATTCCGCAGTAAAGCTGGGTCATAGAGGTTTTCTTCTGTCGGAACAACACTTAGGCGTGATACCACATCTTGAAATGGTGCCTTGCGCTCGTAAAAGGATAAGAGTATTTCTAGATATAGATGGCGATCAGGCGTGATTTGACACTGTTTCGGATAGTCTGTCCGAAATCCGAGGTGAGAACAAAGGCTTCGGAGCTCAGAGTCATCCAAAGAAGATAGCTGCCCTTCCAGCTCCGGACGTTGCTCAATTGAACCGTAATTCGACAAAGCTAGGATCATTAATTTGTCCTTAAAGTATTTCATGGAAGTTCGCTGCAAGTGCGCTAGTTCCTGGCAGTGGGTATCATACACTGCTTGGGGTGACAGGCTCTCGCCTGTATAATCGTCAATTGAGAATGTAGCAAAATGCTTTAAGAGATTATACAAGTCACGGAATAGCTCATTCTCTGAAGATCGGTAGAGTTCCGATAAACGAACGACTGGTAGAATGTTGAGATCTTTCAGCAATGTGTTGACATATCGTCTCGTGGGAAGTTGACTTTCCAGATCCACTAGGAATTCTAGAAACCTTTCACAATAACGCAGGTTATCCACCTGGTCTTTCTCGGCGCCGTTCAATCTCCGAAAAAAATCGAGAAGCATCGTGTAGAGCCATGACCGGTCAAACCTCATTTTCGCTTTGGTTACTTCGTCTGCTGCATCATATCGCTTCGCGGCAGCTCTCCACGTTTTCTTCAGCGTGGGGCCCTTTCCCAGCAGCTGTTCTCGGGCATCGTCACTCGAGAGATTGTGCCAAATCGAAATGGAAACCAGAGGCGCACATTCCTTCCGTATCGAAACATTCTCGAGGGATTGGAAGGAGCTGATTATAAAGGATACTATGGACAGGCGCGACGATGTAGAAAGGGACTGGTCGATGCTCATGGAGAGAATTCGATGGAAAAGGTTGGAAAAGTCATCCGGTCGATCAGAGAAGATGTCTGGTGTTCTGTAAGTACCTCACACAGGATTGACCATATGCAGGAGGAAGGTAGACTCACCCCATATCGGCAGATGTTCTCGCTGTTTGACAGTGACAATAAGCGCCAGCAGCAATACATGGTAGTTCGAAGCATCTTCTGTGTAGGTCGGCCAGAGAAACCTTATGACTGGTTAGTCGAGGCATTACATCGCAAAGAGTACTGTATCAATGTGTACTTCTCTAAAATATTCAAATTTTCCAACGTTAGAAGCGAGCGAAAGCTGAAATTATCCGCTTCGAGAGGGTCCCATATATCCTTCTTGATGACATCCTGCTTGACTTTCCGGACCTTGGATGTCTCAAGCCAATGAGTTTTGGCTAACTGCACCCACGCGCTGTCTTCGCGAAAATCCTCAACGGTGGGCCTTGAATCAAGCCCGTGCGCCATTGCCTGACGTGATTGTAGGCCCATTCCTTGACGTTAGGTTTGTAAAAAACAAAAGAAGGACTCCGCGCCCTCGTCGGATATATCTGCGCAAGTGGTCCGTCGCGGCGGGATGGGAAAGCTTCTGGCGCGCGGCTAAGGAAGTTGCTTCCAGCGGCTAGAACCCGCAGAGCCGCAACAATGGCCCCGTGATCCTTTATTGTATCGGGAGCTCCTTACACGGCACAATTCTCGCATCTCCTTCATCCCATCTTTACTTGGAATTGTTGCTCGCAAGGATGGCCGACGAGGATGTTGAATCGATACATATCTATAGGAGATTAGTTGATAGTCTCCTCGCTCGAGCCGAACTAGTCAAACCGGACAAGCAAATCGAACCTCCGTTGACTGAAGCACACCTTGGAGAAGCGATCTGGAAAGTGGAAGGCGATGATGAGAAGGTTGCAAATCGGCTTAGCCAACAGACACAGTTTGCCTCAGTGGAAATCGCATTCAGGGAGAGGTTTTATAGTTTGCTTGTAAGTGGCTTTATTATTGCGATCCTTCTTGTCTATCCATGGAGTTCAGGGATCGCTAACCGACTCTTAACGAAGGCCACTACATCCATTGAAGAGCCGTCATTTATACAAATATGGAATCTGCTCGACATAATCTCAATCTTCTCGGATAATGGTTCGTTTGGAATTTAGTCTCGCGGCCTCGATAGTGTCCTGACGAATCAACAGAACAGTGTGAGCCTGGTCTTATATTTTGGCTGATGGAGGAATTACTTGATAGCCAAACTATTGATGGCTGTCGCAAAGTTTTTGACTATCTTGAGTCTCGAAGAGAACGGAATACTAAAGTATGTACAACTCAGAATCCTCTCTAGCGCAACTATTGACACCGCCGAAGAAACACTTTAAGCAGAAAAGTTTAATCATTCTGAGATCCTGCAACGAACTCCTGCGGAGGCTTTCGCGAGCCGAAGATACTGTCTTTTGCGGACGTGTCTTTATCTTCCTCTTCCAGAGTTTTCCGCTAGGGGACAAGAGCGCCGTCAACCTTCGGGGCGAATATCATACCGAGAATGTCACCACCTACGATGAAATTCTTAAACCCGACACCAGAGTGCCAGATGAAGCGGATGTAGTAATGTCTGACGAGCATGAACTACCAACGACTATTGTTGAAAACCAACAGGAAGACAACAATACTGATTCACCGTCTCTCTCGGATCCTCAGGCCTCTATTCAAGATCAATCGACGGCCCCGAAAGTCATTATTTCGCAAGACGAAGGTGTTGATGAGAAAGCGAACGACTTAAACACACTATATCCTATGTTCTGGGGCCTCCAGGCATATTTCTCTGCTCCAACAAGGATATTCGATCCCCAACATTTCACCACATTCAGGACGGGACTTGAAGCTACTCTTTCTGCCTTCAAATCGGTTAACACAGACCTTGAAAGTTCCGGCACGAGCAAGACGTCCGAAGAGCTTCGAAAATCCAACAAACGGAAGAGAACTGCAGACGGCCAAGAAATTGCAAGCAGTTTCAACCCGAAGTACTTGACAAGCAGGGATTTATTTGACCTTGAAGTAAGTTTTTTTCTTTTTTGTTTGGCCCTCTTTCGGTGGCTTGTGCCAACTCTCAAATGCAGGTCAATGACACAGCGTTTCGGAGGCATGTTCTGGTCCAGGCGCTTATTCTCCTGGATTTCATGCTCTCACTTACTCCTAAGGCGAAGGCAAAGCTAGCCGAGTTGACTAACAAATCTGTGCTCTACGGGTTTGTATTGAATGAGGACGATGTAGGAACCACCCACGGATACTTAGACTCATGGCCTTTGTTAACAGTTGCAGGCTAAATGGGCAGTCAAGATGAGAAAGGCAATAGAAGAGTATCTTCAGGACGGTGTCGGTGGAAAATTCTACTACCGAATGGTGGACACCGTTTTGTCGAGAGACAAGAACTGGGTTCGCTGGAAAGCTGAAGGCTGTCCATTAATCGAGAGACCCCCTGTTTCCATAGCGGACTACCTTGGTGCTCGTGAGCATGCAACTAAAGTTTACGCCAACAAGCGCCTTCGGTCTTCACCCATGGGCTCGCTAAATCTGAACTTCCTCTCCGAGGGCGAATCACGAGCCGGTCTTGAGAGGCTTAAAGAAGCTCAAAGGTAAGCACCCGTGGATCGTCATCGTAAATCTGATTATTTGGCAGTTGACAATATCGCAGATTCACGGTGCCTTCCTCTGATTCGTTTATGATGGGTATAATGGACGATGAATTAGATATGGATACTGCACAGACAAAGGAGGATAAAGAGAATGCGACACGCGCCAAAGCGAGCAAGACATGGCGTATATTAAGGCTTTCCGCAAAAAGCAAGCTCGCTGCGTTCGACAAGATTGACGATGGCAAAAACTTGAAGCTGCTTTTTGAGGCTCCGCAGCCTTCCGAAGGAACTCCCCAGGTTCTTGAAGGCACCCCTCAAGCTCATGATACAATGATGAAAGCCTCAACCGAGGGCGAGCCTGGTGGTTCGGGGCATGATCATGGGCCTACCAGTTCCGAACAAGGGAATGCCACCGTTGCCACCGAGAAAAGTTCAGCTGATTCGAAGGATGCAGCAGCACCAACAGACACATGAAGAACGCCACACAGGTGGCCAGAGAACGCATTGTCATGATTGGCTCTCATTGGCGCCGAAGAACGAACCCCTACCTAGGTACGATCCTGATGGATACTGATTCGATACACCGTTTGATGATTTCATGTGCTTGTATGCATCACTGTCACAACGCTATGCGGGAGTCCTGCAGTGCCGTAAATAATATGACACGGACATTAGTATGTGGACTGAGTTTTCCGGGAAGAGTTGGGGCGTGTTCATGATGACGAAGGACTTGAAATGGGAGATTACGGCGGGGGGATCTTGGTCCTTTTGATTGGCCTCATTTTGATGACCCTCATTTTGGCGTGCAGTTTAGTCCTCAGCTGTGGCAACACCCGAAGTTTCCCCCGCCCCATTAGATACTCTGTGAGCAGGAGCAACTTTTAGGAGCTCATGGGGACCGACAGGGAGGCGACAAAGGAATAATGAGAGGGGTAGGGACATAGTAAGGGTACCGCTGACCGGAAATTGGAGGCTCCCTGATAATCCACTTCGTGACCCAGAGAGGGGATTCATTCCTCGGGGTAGTCTGAGGTGTGAGGATAAACTTGCCAGTACCCACGGTTACTGAGACTGCTTCAGGGAGCACGCCGCTTCTTTGGCAACGCGGACGGATAAGCTACGGGCGAGGGTCCGAATGTCTCGGGGATCACCAACTCTAATATTACATGGACGTACCTGCATAACCGTGGATCTCATTTGTACTATCTATCTACCTGCTACACAAGGATCGTAGGTATATCACCCGAACCGGCGGAATGATTTCTCACTCCTTACTTTAAGATTGCCCCTTGATAAATGTCATGCGAGATTACAGTGTGATTGCTGGGCCCAAAGGAATCCGGATGATCTGATACGCCACGTTTCACCATCCTCACCCGATAGACGCTTGATCCCTCTGTCAACCTAACTTTCAAGTAAAATTAAGTGACAACCCTAGGTATGTACTTGCAACCGAGGGAGCAGTTATCGCTTGAGAGTTTCTGCAATTATCTACTGTGTATACATACTTCGGAAGGCGAAGTGCCTATTCGTATCAACATCGGGTATATCATTCATCTTTCGGTTTGCGCCGGTTTCGTCTCAGTTCACCTCTTACACTTCTGCCTGGGCCGTCTTTGGGGCAATGATTACGGAGAGTGCCATGACTCGTTCAGGTCCCATACACGGTGGAAGTGACCTGTATATTAGCTAAATGGTATCTTTCGAAGCGAGAAGGATCCCAGCCGAAAAAGGAAACTTTGGTGAAGCAAGTCCACCTTTAATGTTCGCATGTCTTCGTTTGGTTGTGCTTCTCTAGGTTTTCTTTTTTCTTTCGTACATATTATTATTATTATTTATTTATTTATTTTCTTTATTTTACTTCATTTTATTTATTTTTTTTTTTTCGACAGGGGCTCTTCATATAGTCTGGCCGTATCAGATCCATTTAAACATTAATAAATGAATGTACTGGACCTAGGTACCTACACAGAGGTATGTAAACTTGTAAGGTACAGAACCTATGGAATATACGACAGAGTCGGTACTCCGTAGTAGATGGATGTAGGTATAGATGCGAAGCTTCTGATTCGTAGATCAAGGATAGAGGTCGTTCTCTATTCGCCCCAAAGGAGTAAGAGGTCCATTGAAAACCTTGTCAGGGCTAAACGACGTTTCACTGTTACCAACCGACCCGCACAGACACTTTTTCCACAATGGTTCCCGCAGGAACCTGCATCGGAGATAATACCAATCGCGCAATTGATTTTACTCCGACAGGGGTACCGCCGTGGAAAAATATGAAGCCCTGACCATGATAAACTTTGGAGAGGTGTGTATGACATAGGTATGTGGATGTATGTATGTATGTACACATGCATGTTATTAGTATTATTATTTCCCTCTTTCTGCTCTTCCCTTTCGCTTCCTTTTTTTTCTTTTTTTCTTTTTTGCTTTTCCTTTTCCCTTTTTACCCGCCCTCCCCCCTACCCGGCCTCGTTTAGTTCTGTTGTAACTTCATTGGACTCGGAACAATTTGGCCGAAATCTGGCACCCGAAGCGCAGCGCCAATTGTTGGCTTGCGTAATGGGATCGAGAGCAGTATCCACCTGTTAGCGGGAGTTGTTTCCACCGTCCAACAGAAGCAGTAAGAGTCTTGAGAGATGATGTAAGTTATCTCTCAATTCAAACCGCAGTCCGTACGGACCGAATGAAATTAGAAGGGGCCGCCAGTCTTCTTGGCATCCACGAGAAGTCTTGAAAGAGATTAAAGTTGCTCCTCTCCATCCTTCTCACCCACTCACCTTCGATCGACCGCGATTCCTGGGATCTCCTTCCCCGCACCCACACGATGGGAATGAATGTTTGATTACCCTCTTCAGCTGTGATCGTCCTCAAACCCTCAGAGGATGATCCACTCAACGCTTGCTTT